AGCTGGGACTACAGGCGCCCGCCACAACACCCGGCTATTTTTTGTTGCAGTTTGGCCGGGGCTGGGTTTGAACCCGCCACCTTCGGTATATGGGGCCGGCACCCTACTCACTGAGCCACAGGCGCCTCCAAACACTAGTAATGTTGAGTGATTTACAAAGTATTGAATCTTTGGAAAATATGTCAACAAGAGTTCTTGATCAGTAAGTATCTTCCTACACATGAAGTAGTGGTCTACATCAACTACATTCAAAGACATGAATTACTTTTCCCAAATCAATACCAAATAACTTCAGATTCTGCACAGAACATAATCAAAGCCACATTTTCAAGTATTGCAAATTATTAATAACAACACCTCAGTTATTATTGTATTAGTTCAGTTCTTTACTCCAGGTTCTGTATACAACTGGACTTGATTAGAACTCAACTATCATGGTAAAAGGACACTTCCGACCATGGGAATTTAAGAAAATATTGGTGAGGAATTAAGCAAATATACAACATGTTCTTCATACACCCGCACATCAAGACAGCCCACTCCACCTAATGAACTTTCTTTCTTACCTGTGAATTTGGCTGGAATGCAGCATGGGGTGTTGAGTGTTTCTGTAAATTTTCTAGCATTAGAGCCTAGCACAGAGAAAGGCAAAAGTCAAAAACTAGAGGAAAAAAAAAAAGAAAACAAACCCCTGCCTGTCTCACCACTTCTACATTACATGCAATGACTTAAATACACACTTAAACTGTACTTCTTTTCCACAGATCTAAAAGCCCTTTACTAATACATTCTCTCTCTTTTTTTTTTGAGATAGAGTCTCACTATGTCACCCCTGGAAGAGTGTCCTGGCATCACAGCTCACAACAACCTCCAGCTCCTGGGCTTAAGTGATTCTCTTGCCTCAACCTCAGCCTCCCTAGTAGCTGGGACTACAGGCGCCCACCACAACGCCTGGCTTATTTTTTTTTTTTTTGGTCGTAGTTGTCATTGTTGTTTGGCAGGCCCAGCTGGACTCGAACCGCCAGCTCTGGTGTATGTGGCTGGCGCCTTAGCAGCTTGAGCTACAAGTGACGAGCCTACGAAGACAATTCTCATTCATCTTCAGAGGATCCTTAAAGGTAGCCATGGTTTTTGTTACTAAATGTTCAGATGTAAAATGCAGGCAGGCAGAGAATCAGTGATCTGGCTATTTCATATAATCAGTGACAGAACCTGTACCACAGTCCCTGTTATCTTCTGCACTTTTGACAAGTGCCCCTTCTAGCCAGGCAGGTAAAATTACTTTAAATACATGAAACTAACATGGGGCTGCTGGTTTGGGCCTCACTGAATTACTCAGTTACCCACCACCAGATCTACCTGAATAAACTTGTATAACTTCCAGCAGAATGGCATCTACATTTATGAAATTTATAAAAATTTCAAAGAGGAGGCTACAGAAGAAAATGACCACAGACTCTGTAAACTGGAGTCTGACTTAATCCACACACACACAACACTGTCAGCTTCTGTATAAGCAACGGTCTACCAACTCAAACCTTGAACCAATCCAGTCCTAATCTGTACTACCTGCCACGTATCCTGATGAGCTCTTATTAAAAGCAAAATACCCTGATGTTCCACCATTCACACCAAACCTACACATACCAATCTACCTCATGACAATCCCCCCTCGATCTACTCAGATTCCCCAACATACACCAACCTGCTTCACCTCTCTCATCAATATTCACCAAACTCTTATACACCCAAATTGCTTCTGGATGCCATATAAATTAGACACCTCTGCCACCAAGTCCCTTCGAATTAAGGTTTCTCTTCATCTCATCTCTGATCAAGCGGACGGACATTTTACCCCACCCCAATTCTATTCTTGCGGATACAGTCACCCCATCCACCACTTCACCCAACTATACCCCTAACTCCGACCCAGCCGAACTCGCCCCCCTCTGGCCAGCAACGCCTGTGGTTGTAGTGGGATTTAACTCCTTCTGCGGCGCATGCGCCGAAACCACAGACACAAACAAGGAGGGGGTGGGGGAAGGAGGAAGGAGCTTAAGACACTCCAGGAGAGTAGCGCGCACCCTCCCATTTTGGGCTCGCGCCGCTGCCGTTAAGGCGGGAACCGGCGCGATCTCTATTCTAGCACGAGCCTCACCAACTACCGTGCGCGCGGATACAGAGGCTCGCGCTGGCGGCCTGAGCGAGCTCGCGCCGAGCCCGGACACTGCGCCTGCGCCGCGGCAGAGACTCGTCTCTACCGGGTCCGCTCCCCTCCGACACCCCGGCAGCGCCAACTCCTCACCCCTTTGAGCCGCTTGACCAGGGCACTCTTCTGCCCACTCTTGGCTAGGCCTCGCTGCTCCAGTGCGGCCTTCAGGTCGGTCACCCGCAGCGCCTGAAGAGGCTTCCCGTCCAGAGTCACCTCCTCCAGCTCCGCCATCTTGCGTGAGGTGCTCGGGTCCGTCCCGACGGCTTCGGGCATCTTCGGTAATTTCCGCCAACGCCCTTCGAACGTACCCAGTTGGCCCCGCCCACTGCAATAGTCTACCCCTCGATTACCACTCAGAACTCCCCGGATTCCTCCGGAACTGCTCGGATGTTTCCGTCTCACATCGGCACCAATCGATTCTTTCCATCCGCCCATCTTTTCCCTACCTCCCTCGCCTTGCTTTCGGGTTCGGTTACCTTCGTTTTGCCGAGACTTTGAGTCGAATGTGTTCGGAAGTCGTCGACGCTGGCGTAACCATAATCGGAGATATTCGGCTATCTCCGGAAATAGCACTACAGCGCTGGGGCGCCTGGGTGATTGGGACTGGTTTGGGACCGGAAGTGCGTGGGATGCCCAGCTGGCCCACCTTTGGGTTTTCAGGAAACATGGAAGCTGCGGTGATTGTTGGAGTTTAAGGACCCTTGTGACGATCTCCGAGTGCCCTCTGGGGCACAGAGGAGGTAAGCTGGATAGCAGTTCTTGTTTGGGCCAAGTCAAACTCAGTGTTTGTGGGTTACCCTCATAGAGCAAGCTTCCCACTCCCTTACGGAAATAGCTGCTGCCCCCAGTCCTCGGAATCGCCGCCACTCCCATTTAAGGCTTCGGTGCTCTTTGGGGGCACCTGAGTACGAAGTAACAGGTTGGTCAAGAGGTAGCACCGTTTCTGTCTTTGGACCCATCTGAACTGATTAAAGGCACTGAATTTGAGTTTAACTTGGAAGCCTAAGTGGCAAGACCCTAGAAAAGTTATTTTTTTTCTCCGAAAAAGAGAATAAAGTTACTTCAGGAGGAACTGCTTATTGAAGGGCAAGAACTGAAAAGGCCAAGTGCCCTAACCTGTTTTGCTACTTGAACTAATGTTAGTTTTCTCGGGCTTGCTTTCTTTGTGGCTATGAATCCACCAGCTTGGAGCAGGAGAAACACAAACAATACAATAGATCACAGACAAATAGTGAGGTTTTCACTGTTGGAGATTCAAACTGTGGGACTGAAAACTATTGGAGTCAAATTGGTTGACCTTACAGTTGTATTCTGATCCAAAATCGATTGCAGGACACTAATATGTATCGTATTAAACATTAAGGAAAGTTGTTCATAGGCATAAATTGTTATACAATAGTGTAACACTTGTTAGATCCTAAGCCAACAAACTAACTGCACTGTTTTTTTCAGATTCTTGAATAAACACCAGGCTTCTTGTTTTCTTACTGGGTTATGTTATTTTGGGAAAGCCCTCACATACTCTGCTCTTTGATATTTCCTAGTGCTTTACAGGAAACATTAGGAGGTAACATGTTATGAAGTTCTTGGCATATTTCAAAGGCTACACGTATATTACAAAGAAGGCTTTTTCTCTTTTTTTTGCAGTTTTTGGCCGGGGCTGGGTTTGAACCCACCACCTCTGGCATATGGGGCCCGCACCCTACTCCTTTGAGCCACAGGTGCTGCCCCAAAGAAGGCTTTTTCATCATATATGATGTTTTCTTCTTTTCTCCTCCCCCCACTGTTGGTAACTCCAGAACAGTTAGCATTTAGGCCCTGACCAACTGTATGTACTATATTAAAAAAGAATACTTTTTCATGTTAGGTAAGATGTGATGGACCAACATTAATTATTGTGTTTTTCTTTGCCAAATCTAGAATACAGAATTATTCTGTTACTTTGTATTCTAGTGCCTCCAAGGAGCACTGAAGCCTTAGATGGGAGTAGCGGAGATTCCAAGGACTGAAGACAGCAGCTACTTCCCAAGGAGTGGGAAGCTTGCCTTATGAGGGTAACCCACACATACCAAGTCTGACCTGGCCCAAGGAGAGAGGGAGAGAATGAGCAAGAAATATACTGGTTATTTTTAGGTTATAAGAAGGAAAGAGGCAGTGGTTGGGGAGGGTAATAGGTTTGAGAAAAAGAGGAAGACTGGCGAATATGAAGTCATTCTTAGGTGATTTCTCTAAGGTAGTTGGATAATACGCTAAAGGATCCTGTTATTTTCCTGTAAATTGAAGTAGTGAAAATTAGTTTTCTCTATAGATGGTGACTGAGATTTGATGCTAGGAAGTTATATTTTTGTTGTGCTAGCTCGGCACCTGTGGCTCAAGTGGTTAAGGCGCTAGCCACATACACCTAAGATGGTGGGTTTGAATCCAGCCCAGGCCTGCCCAATAACTATGATGGCTGCAACCAAAAAATAGCCGGGCGTTGAGGCAGGAGACTCGCTTGAGCCCAGGAGTTGGAGGTTGCTGTGAGCTGTGATGCCACGACACTCTACTCAGGGGGACAGCTTGAGGCTCTGTCTCAAAAAAAATTTTTTTTTTTTTGGTTGTGCCATCAAGGGAGTGTATAACGGTACTTTTATGTTTCAGGATGCCACTGGAATCATCTTCCTCCTTGATGCCATCATCCTTTCCTTCTGTCTTACCCACAGTACCAGATAGTATTACTAACTTTTCCCCTCCCCCAATGTCTTACATCACCTCCCAAGAGATGAAGTGTATTCTTCACTGGTTTGCCAGTTGGTCAGGTCCCCAGCGAGAACGTTTCCTACAGGACCTGGTAGCTAAGGCAGTACCAGGAAAATTACAGCCACTACTGGATGGTCTGGAGCAGCTTAGTGTGTCCGGGGCAAACCGACCACCTTGTATCTTTGAGTGCCAGCTACGTCTTTGGGATCAATGGTTTCGAGGTTGGGCTGAGCAGGAGCGCAATGAATTTATCAGGCAGTTGGAGATCAGTGAGCCAGACTTCGTGGCAAAGTTTTACCAAGCAGTGGCTGCAACAGCTGGCAAGGACTGACAGGCATTCAGATCAGAGAAGATAACCACAGATGATGGAGTCAAGGCCGTAACTCTACAGTGAGAACTGAATTCACATGTGTCACATAAAAGTCTGGGAGTGGTATACAGAACAACTGAATGAACTTGCCTGACCAGCACAGCCATGGTTATCTCAACATTGATAACATGTCAGTGGGACTCCATCTAAGTATAGATGTTATTCATCTAAGCAAATACAGATCATCAGTTTGTCTTCTAGGTTGCTTCTTTCCAAGAGATGCCAAACCCTCTAGAATTTGATTATTTTGGAACTGTACCCAAAGGAACTTACATATATATAACATAAGCCTACTGTTGGCCCATGAAGTGTAGTAGAGCCTTCCTTCCCCAGGGAGAGAAGGATAATAAAAAGTCATATTTTTACAGTCTAGCTAGGTTCAGATGGCTTGTTTTCCTTGCCCACCAGATTCTGGCATAATTACGACACATCCCAACCACTAGCTTTCCCAGTGATGATTTAGTAAAGTTATGGAAAATCAAGAGAGGAAGATAATTAGTAACTCCTTCTTCCACACCATGTATGTTTGAATCCAAATAGCAGTGACTTTTTTCTAAAGTATATGTGTTGTCCTTGAGCTGGTAGCAGGTATTAATTTTGTTTTATAACAATGTGAAAGCCACACTCTTTATAGGTAAAATGGTTTATTTTGTACCAAAATAAAGAACAGATCTTCAGAACCATAAGACTCCATCTTTTTTTCGTTGCAAGGCTAGTATAAAGTTGATATACATGGAAAGAGACATTCAGGAGAGAGTAATATCACACCTCCCTTATTCTTCCATCTGGGCTCCTTGTGTTGTAGAGCTCTGGTAAATGGTAAGGGACAGATGGTCCTACCTGAAAAGTAGCTCGTTTCTGATAGGCTACGGCTCCCAGTGCACTCAGCAGGATAAGCAGCATTAGACAAAGTCCCATGGTCAGACTTAGATGGGTCATGGAGGGATTATGGTCCAAGGTAACCAGCAACCCGGGAATACAGGAGGTACTATTTGGTCTGGAATAATGCATAGGCTTAGAAAATGAAGGGCTTTACCTTTATATGTAGAATATATGTATAAATCCCTGCTTCATCAAAGCATTAACAGGAGATCATTATGAGTTAATATATAACTTTAAAGTAGATAGAATAATTGCTCAGCGCCTGTAGCTCAGTGGTTAGGGTTATGGCCACATATACTGGGGCTGCTGAACAACAATGAGAACAACAACAAAAAAAGCCTTTGTGGCGGATGCCTGTAGTCCCAGTTACTTGGGAGGCTGAGGCAATAGAATCCGCCCAAGAGTGTGAGGTTGCTATAAGCTGTGATGCCACAGCATTCTACTGAGGATGACATAGTGAGACTGTCTCAAAAAAAAAAGTAAAAATAGAATCAGATTGAATAAGACCAAGATCCAAGTCTTCTAGGATCTTAAATTATTGGGAGAAGACCTAACTTGGCAGTTAGGGAAGTGGTTTAAGAGAAGACAAAGACCATGGTGTTTAGGTAACTAAACACCTAAACGCTGTCCCTGGGTAGTCCTTAAAGAAAGGAAGGGGTCTTGGATCTTTATGTCCTAGAGATAGGGGAACTCCATTATTGTGTGAAGGGGGGAGTCATATAATGATAGGCCTGAAACGATCATGTTAGGGATCTTTGCCCAGACAGGGTCATGTATTTTAGAAGGCAATATACACATGAGTGAGAGCTTAATAAGTGCAATTTAAAATACCTGTACTCTAGATTTGAAAGAAAATTAACTTGGAGTATTATCTTACTTGTTATCTTCTGTGGTAAAGCTGGCTCCTCCATGATGAATTTCTAGGGGTTTCTCCTGGAGAGTCAGGGTCAGGGCCCTGTGCAGCATAGAAACTGAAGGCCCCTTGCAGCCAGGAGACTTCCACATATGCACAGTGAACACCCAACTAGCAGTAATGGATGGGCTGTGGAAATAGCACCTGAATGGACATTTGGATTTCTTAATGGAGGTAAGCAATCCCTGGAGGAATATAACTCATGAAACAGGTACAGACTTAGGAGTGGGATGAACAGAAAGTCTTCAGAGGAGTGTTTTGAAGCATTTTCCCTGGCCCGTTGTATAAATAGCCTGAACTGTCCCTTTACCTGCTCATGCCACTTCTGCTCACCAGTGCCTGCAGTACCACTTCAGCCAGCTCTTCTTGCTGTGCCTTCCCCAGAGAGTGGCCTGGAGGTCCAGCTAAACCTAAGGACAGCTGGAACAGCAGAGCTTGGGTTGAAAGACTCACAGGTGGGGAAATAACAGCATTGGTACCTTCATTAGTCCGACACAGCCGACTCTGGGGACAAAAGAGGACGCCAGAGTACCCAGGTATCTGCAGGGAAATATGTAGCAGAGTATAGTTGTGCCTCAATTATCTGCTCAAGCATTCTTTCTGAGGAAAATATACATTCTAGATCAGAGTCATGGACTCAGTGGGTACTTAGTTAAAAATGAACATCAAAATGGCTTGGAAAAGTACAGCATGCTCACTTCTTTCTGCCAGTGTACCACAACTATTCCTTAGGGTACCCACCTGAATAGCCTTTCCTGGGAGGCATGGGACCCAAGGTGATCCCTCCACCTGCACCTTGTATGCACCCCTGTCTGTGCATTGATGCAAGTAGCAGCGGCCAGTGAGCTCTACTTCCTTGAGGTGTGGGATCTGAGAAGGATGCCTGGTCTCATCCACAGGGAGCAGTTGTGAAGTGAGGTTGGCAAGGAAGCAACGGCTCTGGGCATGGTAGATCTCCCCATGAGGATTTACCACCCCAGCTGGGAGTCCGTTTTCCTTCTTCCAGCATTCACTCTGAAGGGCAGGCCAGGAGGTAGAATAGTGTTTGTTCAGATACTGTGGAAGTTAACTGCTGGATCCACTTAGTTTCATTCTCTGTCTCCAGTCTACTCACCTTGTTAGCTAAGGGCTTGTACATGCGGCAGCCTTCCAACATGGGGTCAGAGGAGCAGCTTCCCTTGTCCAGGTGCAGGTAGTGACAGCCTAGCCCACTGTGTACAAAGGATAATAGAGTGACACAAGGATCACTGACAGCTGTACTGTTCCCTAACTACTCAGCATACAAACCTGCCAGTGCAGAAGAAGTCCGAGGAGCCAGTCCCACATGTGGTCACCAGGCCAAATTCCAGGCCAGATCCTGCTTGCAATATAGGAAGAAGGAATGAATGTCCTCAACAAATGAAGCCCCAACATCTCTCAGTGCTGGCTACACTTACAGCTTCAACTATACCTTAGCAGCAGATCATCCTTCCAACCTCGCCCACTTACCCTGGAGCTGACTTGGGTGAAGAATGCCCCTCTGCAGTTCCCCAATTTCTCACCCTGGCCCCACAACAGCTCCTCTGCAGCGCTGTGGTTGACCTGGTACCAGCCTGAGTCTTTGAAGGCAGCAAGAGTGATTGGGTCAAGTCTAGAGCGCTGGGCACCATCAAACGTAGCAGTCATTAAAGAGCCCTGGAGTAGTCTGGCCTCCCAGTGTGAGGACAAAGGGCCCTACAGAAGATGACAGATAGCTGGTTGCTATCTGGATATTCCCTCTTTTTTCTGTCATCCCAAGGAGTTCTCATTCTCACCTCTTCTTCCAAGAGAACGCCCAATGAAACCTCTAGTACCCCCAAGTGTTTGGCCAGGCTGTGGCTAACAGCTGGGGTGGTGAGAAGCAGCTGTCCCCACTCATCTTGCCTTGTCACTTGTTGCCTTGTAGAGCAGTTCTCTCTAACTGAGTACAGAAAGGGAAGAAAGCAATATGCGAGGAAAACTAAAGAGTGAAGTAAAACCAGACGAAAGGAGGATTTCCCTCTGCTTGGCATTGGGAAAGTCCTCTCCCTCATTCCTCTCATTTACCGCTGAGTCCTGAGGGGCAATCCCGCCACTTCTTGAAGAGTTGTCCAGAGAAACCCAGGACATGGAGCAATTCATGCAGCGTGGCCTGAATTCATGCAGTGAGAGGGCTGGATTTGTAGCAGGAATGACCAACCACTACATACCCCGCTGCTGAATCAGCTCTTCTTAGAGCTGGCAGCACCTTCTATGTGTGTTCCACCCTCAGTACGTTCTTCCACTTGGCATAAAGCTGAAGGGGGGTCGCATGAAGCTGAAGGGTCTGCCCCCCCCCACCCTCCAACCTGTGTGCTTCTCCCTATTCATCATGTAGCAGTCACCATGACGATGTCACTCTGGCTCAGGCTGGGCCTGGTAAGATGTTGGGCACAGTAGACAATGGTACCAGCAAGAGGCCTGTCTTCAGAGTCCAGCTGGCAGCATGCGGCATAGGCTATGATAGAGGGCTGTGGATGGGCCAGGACAAGGAGAAGGAGGGGTAGCATAGATAAAGGAAATCTTCCTGAAAATGGGTGACCAGGGGACTCTGCAGAATTCTTCAGGAGTGGCATTGAGGATGACTTGGGAGGGGTTTAGTCCCTACCCACACTTTATCAACATGCCCCAAGTTATCCCAAATAAGCACAACTTAATATGAATTGTTGGCAAAGCAAGGCAGAGGTGAACCTCACCTCTTTGTGGCATTTGGAAGTGTGGGCAATCCTCATATACAGGAGAAAATCAGTGTTTTGGACCCCAGGCCCATCTGGCTTGACCACTTGTGGGGAACCCTGTTCTGGCCACAAGGCATAACCACGGAGATGAGCATCAGGAATCTAGTGGAGAGTGAAATGTAGCATCAAGCTTAGCAGCTGGGTTGGGCCAGCAGGAACCTGGGTACCAGGAGGAAGGGAGGGTGAGCGTCTTGGGTCTGGTAATTTTTTTTTTTTTTGAGACAGAGTCTCCTATGTTGCCCTGGGTAGAGTGCCATGGCGTCACAGCTCACAGCAACCTCCAGCTCTTGGGCTTAGTTGATTCTTTTGCCTCAGCCTCTGGAGTAGCTGGGACTACAGGCACCCACCACAACGCTTGGCTATTTTTTGGTTGCAGTTTGGCCGGGGCTGGGTTTGAATTCAACACCCTCAGTATGTGGGGCTGGCACCCTACTTACTGAGCCACAGGTGCTGCCCAGCAACCTCAAACTCTCTGAGAGACCTCAAACTCTCACAGACTTCTGAGCTTGAGGGATTCTCGTGCTTCAGCCTCCCAAGTAGCTGGGACTATAGGCACTTGCCACAATGCCTGGCTATTTTTTTTGTTGCAGTTGTTGTTTAGCTGGCTCAGGTTGGGTTTGAACCCACCAGCCTGGGTATATGTGGCTGATGCCCTACTCACTGAGCTATAGGCGCTGCCTTGGGTCTATCTTAGTGTCATCCAGGCAGCTGGCTAGAACACAGAGTTCTGTCCCCACCCCTAGTCTCTGACTTAATAAATTTGAGGGGCAGAGAATTGAGGGGGGGTTGGATCTGTGTAGAAGGACCAACCAACCCCTACATACCCCCTCTGCCCAAATGGCCCTTCTTACAGCTTGAAGCACCTTCTCTTCCAGCCTCTGTAGTTTCTTCCACTTCACATCATGCTGAAGGACCTGCCCCTCATCTCTGATTTAATAAATTTTGGGGGCAGGGAAAGGGAGGCCCCAGGTATCTACACTGTACAGATACACCTTATGTAATTCTGGTACTGGGGGTCTTGGAACACGTAGGCAGGATAGAGAACTTCAGATCTCTAAGACTGAGAATTTGCACTCACCTTTGCCCCCAGGCAACTCTCTCCTTTGTACCCTGGGTTCAAGAGGCTGCACCTGCCAAGAACGAACATCAGTTGGTGAGCTGGAGATATTTCTGGGTATACCTAAAGAAGTATTACATATACCATGTATTCTCAATGACATGAACTCACCTGTGGTAGTTTGGGGTTTCTGGGTCTCCCCAGACAGCGTGGCAATATTGTGCAGGGTCTCGACTCAGAAGCAGGGGTCCTTGCACTGGAGGGACTTAGATGAAAGGCTAATTTCTCATGTCTGAGAACTCTAGTTCTGTTTCTGCTTTGGTCTTCCTCCCCTAGACCTCTCTACTCCTCAGCCCCCACCCCCGATTCCTCCTGCCCCTCACTCACCTGCTAGGACACCCTGGATTCGCTGAGTGGCCTCCCTTATTGCGGCCAGGGCTCGGGACTCCACTCTCGTCCCATCTCCCGTAGTAACCCAAGCTCTATTTGAGGTAGGGTCCTCTATATAGCAGGTTTGGATGCGCAGGGGTTGAGGATCTCTGGAGCCAGGGAGGTTGAGGGAAGAAGAGCGAAGGTTTGGGGACAGCTGGGAGAAAGAGGGCCTGAGAAGTCTCACCGACTTCTGAGTCTCATCATGTAGACATCTGCTTGTGGCAACCCCAAGGAGCAGTGGCAGCAGCAGCATCTTTAGTATCTTTTCATAGCCTGCCCTGGATCTTGTCTCTGTCCCCTTCTTCGCTGGCTCACTTATTTCTGGCTTTCCTCCCTTCACTATCTCTCTCCATATCCCCTTCACAACTCTTGCTTATTTTTTTGAGATTTGAATGTTGTTGACTGAATCTACAGTTCCCTGCCAGGAGGTTGGGGGCCAAATCCACCCACTTCTGGGGGTGCCAGAGGTGGCATGCTGGGGGAGGGGAAGGGTCATTCTGAGGCCTCAGCTGACCTTTCCAAAGGGAAGCCTGCCTTCTCCACAATGGAGCTCTTTTCTAACCTTCTCCCATTCCTCATCTTATTTCCTCTGCCTTTCTGGGTAGAAAACCTTGGAAACATCACCAAAATAAAAGATGGGTGTCAGCATAATGGACGGTGGGAAAGTGTGACATTCTTTGCTTCATAAATGCCTGCATACCTCACTGGAAATGGGCAAACAAGGCTTCAGCACTTCCCTAGCCCCAGTGGCACAACTGGGTGTCCTCTCACTAAACTGCAAGACTTTTAGGCATCTCCTGCATCTGTGTAGGGTTCTTAGCAGGTGCTCAACAAATCCATGTTAGTTGGCTGACATCTCCTAGGAGATGCTGTTGTGTTAGGTCTGTGAAGCTTTACAGGAGCTGCTTATAGACATGCAGGAGAGGGAAAACAAAATGGACAACAGTAGATGTTCAAACATGTTCTTAGGGAGCTCTGTTTTCTTTGCTCATGCTGTGCTTTCATATCCTGTTTCCTCTGCTTGGATACTCTTCCTCTTTTGCCTGCCTAGCTAATTCCTGCCCTTCCTGTAATTACTTTGGGAAGCCTTTCTTAACACCCCCAGCCCAAATTTAACACCTGCCAGAGGGGAAGTGGAACCATTTCACAGGAAGGGGCTCTCCTTCTAGCTCCTAACAGCACACCATTATGCTCTGCTATCAGTATTGGCTTCATAATTCTCCCTCCACATTCTAAACTATGGAGGTTGTCCATAGTACTCGGCACAGCTAGTCTATTCATCCACAGCACTTGGAACAGCCTGTGGGTCCTAGTCTTCAATATGTGGATGAAGGTCGAATCTAACTTCATATTTAACTTTTGGAGAAATAGATTGGGGTGAAGTGACATGTCTTAAGGCAACATAGCTAATTAGTGACAAAGACTAGAATTTAGAGAAGGGCTTCTGACTTCCCAGGGAGGCTTGATTTTATACTTTTACATACCAGAACTATGGCTGGAACTACACATTACAAGGGGAACACCCAAACTCCGGAGCCAAACCCATTCTGCCACTTTCTGTCTATGTAACTTTGACCAGCTGCCTCAGTTTTCCCATCTGCAAAATGGAGATGATTGTAGTTACAGGGTTGTTATGAGCAGTAAGTGAATATTTGTAAAGCAATGAGAATAGTGTCTGGTTCATGGCAAACACTAAATCAAGTAAAGACTGAGCTATGCTTGAGGTGTTTTTAGGAAAAAATAAATCCAGTAAAGAATGT